ATAATTCGAGGAAGTTAGAAAAAGTCGCGGCGGCTCGTTATCAGCGGCGCGCAGAAGCTAACAGGACGAAGGCGGGAAAAAAATCGGTCTCGCTGACTTCCTGGTCGCGTGCTCGCTGCCATACGACAACAGTATGAGTCACGCCCGCCGATATCCTGGCCGTTAGGCACCGCCGTGAGATTGGACCGTCGCGTCGCGTTATCTGCGCCAAGTAGGAAGCGAATCTCGCGTAATTAATTTTACGCCGAGCCTGGAACATCGTCGCGAGAGCCGGGCGCGGCCCTCTCATTTCTGAGTCAATTACCATCCGACGCGGCACCATCGGAATTATCGCGAGCGTTTCCTGCCGACGGATCCCCGACTGCAATAACATCCCTCGGTGGAGTGTTTGCTGCGAAAAGCTGGCCAAACGACAACGCTATTTATTTGTCCTCGTAACGAATATGGTTTATCCCCGACCGACTTGGTTTCAGATTTTTCAATTGCTTTTTGAAGCTGTCGCCGATAGAATTTATTTGTAATTCATTGCGCGCGAATGTTTTCTCTCGGGGGGCACTTACGGCACTTACGAGATTAAAAATTTTTATTTTTACAAGGCCTGCGCCGATGTTGTGTTTTGCCAAATTTTGTTTAAGTCTTTGTGCGTCAACGCAGCGATTTCAAAAATTACGTGAATTCAAGGAAATATAGTTGGTGAAATGAACGTTGAAAAATTAAGAACCGAGCGTGACACCGAGGGCTGTTTCAATGTTCTTGCATTTTTCAGGTCCCTGCTAAATTTGTTATATTGAATAACATATTTAAGATATATAAATATATCCGGATAAAACTCCAGTTTTAGATCCGAATATTTAATTCAATGACACAAATATGGGTGACGTCTTAGTAAATGTATTCAATACAGTATTTTCAATATTATATTATTTTATAATATATATATATTTATATTACTATATTATTATTATTATTATTATTATTATTATTATATATTTATTTTACAAAATAACGATTTATTTGCTGAAGTCTTTATTCTTTATTTGATTTTAATAGAAATAACTGATTCCCTAGTACACAGCTAATATTATTGTTTCTTGGTGGTCACAAGACGTGAAAAGTTTAGTATTGAGTCGGCACTTGTTCGTGACTTCCTTTATTCGTTTTTATTGAGAAATGATCGATGAATTGAGCAATAATATTGCGAAATGTTTAGAACAATGAGTCATCGGGAGAACTATAAAACGATCGCTAATTCGAATCGTTTACGCGGATCTAATATGAGTGAAACCGGCAATAACGTAGTTACGAATGAAATAATGAAAAAATCCAAAACGAAAGATCGATTCGACAAGACCTGTAACAAGCCTATTTTGTTGGATGCCTATAACAGCGACGTAGAGAGAACGCTAATTGCATGAATGTGGAAATTAGGGGCAAGTTCTCAATTCTATTTAATTTAGATCTCATTTTAATCGAGAGTAGTGTTAACAAACAAATTGGAATTGTTCGGGAAACATCGAAATGATGTAGCTGCAAATGAAGATAAAAGCAGAAAAGATCCAATTAATTGTATCCAAGAACAATTTGAAAACGATACGGTACAATTTTATAATAACGACAAATCAAATTTTAGGAACACTATCGAATGTATTGAATGTCAACATCCACTAAACAATTTATCGAAACGTAGTTATTCGAATATAAACATTAAGTATTATAGACGTTTCGTTGAATATTCAATATCTGTTTTAAGCTTTACTAGAAAAGAAAACAATTTCGATCAACAAATGAACGTTTAATTAATAATTTCAACGAACAAAAATGTCTGTTCAAGTGTCACGTTTCAATGCTATTTCTATTTTCATCGATTGAACCTTTGACAAATATTTTCGTTCCGTTTTGTAACAACTCCTCGCATAGAGTTGAGTTAAATTAAATCGTGTGCAAGTGGTTAACATACCTTCCGACACAAGCATAGAAGAATTAGAATTTAGAATGTCGGACATATAGTTCATTCAGTATTAACGCGGTAAAAATGGGGCTAGAAATATCGCTAACGGGAGTCTATTTTCATAAGAGAGAAAAGCGTCCCTTCCCGAAGTAAAACGTCGTCGAATATTGATCGCGCGGAAGAATTTTGAAATCAGCACCGGCAGGTGCTAAATTATTTCCGTTCGCGGAGAGTCCCTTTTTCTATCCTGCACTCGACGTCTGTGGGTCAATGAGGCGATGCATAATTCAATTGTATTCTTCATCCCGCCCGACATCCCGAGGAAAGAATATCGACGCCCAATAACCGTGTTCGAGGTATCGTTCTTCCTTCCGTTTTTTTTTTATCCTCTCCGTTTCCCGGCCGACGAAATCCCATTTCCCGAGGCGGAACAAGGGAAAGCAGAACGGCGAGCCGTGCGCCGCTTCCGAAACTTTTCCGGTTTAAGGGAAAATCGTTCAGGACGTCCGGGAGCGGGATTTCATCTGCCCTGTCTGAAATATTGACAACCTTATCTTGAACATTCTGCCGAGCCAAATTGAAGGCAGCGATCGTTATGAAAATTTATCAGGGAACGGTGTAATCGATGACGCGGATGATAGCCCGATAGAGCGAAACAAATTCTTCGATAATTTCGTGTATCCACAATACGATGGCGTGAATAATTGTAGACTCGAAGTAACTTTTACATTTTTACTGATGAATAGAATAGAAAAGAATAGAATAGAATAGAATGAATAGAATAGAATAGAATAGAATAGAATAGAATAGAATAGAATAGAGAATAGAATAGAATAGAATAGAGAATAGAATATATTATAATAGAATAGAATAGAATAGAATATATTATATTATATATTATATTATATTCTATTCTATTATAATATATTCTATTCTATTCTATTCTATATATTAATATATTATATTATATATTATATTATAT